GTGTGCTTAGTTGGTGATTGAGTATAGAAGTATGAGGAGGTAGAGCGTGAGCTGCCTGATCCAGCCGAGGAGAATTAAATCCAGACTTGGCTCTACTTTTCTCATGCCTCATCCAAAATAGTTCGGTTATCCTGATCAATATTCAGTATTAATGCTGCTATATGTTTTGGCTGCTGGAGGACATAGGGACCACTTTTCATCCACTGTTTCATTCTATTTCTATTCTCTCATTCTGCAGTATTTGTTAGTTCAGTTTCTGGTTGGCCTCTTCACACACCTGCGGATGGTCATCTTATTAACGGAGGACTCTTAAGCTGCTGACTGCCACTACCTCGATGCCAGAGTGTTGGCCAGTTTAGGGTACTCTAGCCATGCTTAGTTTTGCTGAGTCAAACTGAGTTTTTGTCTACCTGAGTTTTAATCTAGCTGTTTTTTTGTCTTTGCCTCTCGGCAGGAAGTCATCCTGCAAACTGGATGTTTCGGACCTTCTCTCCCCTGGAAGGATTCTCTGAGCACCAAACTGAGCTGAGGATTCAAGTTTGTGGTTTGGATCAACTTTTCCCCTCAAGGAATGTTTGGGGCTTCTCTCTAGAGCAGGGGATTCATCTCCACTATAACCCGTTCAAGTACCGCAGGAAAACTAAGTGGCAGTCAGCTTCTCCGTTCACCAAGGTACAACCGCAATCTGGGTAAACCCTGTCCGCCCTCCTTCGAACAAGACATTCACTGGAACGTCCCACACCAACCTAATTACTCCTCTTCAAGTCAAATACACCAATTTCCCACTGAGCCTGAACTAACCGCAGTATCTTCCCCTTCACTTTCCAGTTCCGGTTTGACAGTGTTCAGAGCAGCACTGGACTCCTCTCATCACTATAAATAAACCTGTTAAACTTTTCCCCAGTCTCTCTGTTTGGTCTTCTGTATGTGAGTCAGGGCTCTAGATAAAATCATGACACTGAAGAGTCAACTAAAAAATGCAAATGAAATTTCATTTCAGTCAATCTAATATAAGGCAGGGATCACCAACCTTTTAAGACTGAGGCCTTCTTCATTGGTTCTGAGTCATAGAAAGAGCCACCTGTACTGAGAGGGGTCAGCATCCACCTAAAATGTATACATAATAAACATTTTTTATGCTTAATTTGTAATTTTCTTTTAGATAATGGTATTTTGAAATCCCTGTAGATCAGGCATCCCCAAACTCGGTCCTCAAGGCCCCAAGTAACCAGCTGTGCTGAAGCAGAGAAACCTCTAAAACCTGCAGGACAGGGGGCCTCGAGGAGTTTGGGGATGCCTGCTGTAGATGATTACATTTTATGATAGATATAAAGAATTGCTCTATAAATTATTCAAAAAGAAGATCAATGGAATAAGATAAAATTTCAACCATAAGGTTTTTCTGTTTTCAGTAGACGCTGAGGGCCCCCACATGTGCTCCATAAAGGCCCCTCGGTGCCCGCAGGCGCCGCGTTGCTGACCCCTGATATAAGGTATGAGAAAACCAAGGAGAAACATCTATCCAGACTGAAACTCTGGGTTGTTAATGCTCTAACTCCTCCTACCTCCACTCACCCAGGAAGTAAGAAAACATCTCTCTTTTTTATTTATTTATTTATTGTTTCATCTTGTTTTCCATCTAGACCATCCACATTATCAATACCATTCAGCCACTATCGTTAGGAGTAGTTAATTTTTCCCAATACACTGAACATACTATGAACTGTCAGCCAAAAAAAAACAAAAAACGCTTTCATGCTGATATTTGCTCCATCAGATAAGCTAACAACCAAGGAGCTACATAATATGAAGCGATTCTGGACCCAAAGGTTTTAAATCCAATCTAGCTGTCAATGGGCAAGAGGCGGGGTCCACCCTCGACAGGTTGCCAGTCCATTGCAGGGCAACACAGAGACAAACAACCATTCACACTCACACCTAAGGAGAATTAAGAGAAGCCAAATTAACCTAATAGTCATGTTTTTGAACTGTGGGAGGAAGCTGGAGTACCCAGAGAGATCCCATGTATGCTCAGGGAGAACATGCAAACTCCATGCAGAAAGACCCCGAGCCGGGAATGGAACCCGGAACCTTCTTGTTGCATGGCAGAAGTGCCTTGTATTGGTTTAATTACTCCTAAATTCCAACGGAAGATTATTAAATTAGACTGAGTTGAGTTTTAATGTCTGACATTTTGAGAAATTGGGCATATGGAGTGAGAGTGTGTGAAGACACTGAGATGGGTGAGTCTCACTCCCAATGGGTGAGAGTTGACAGCCCTGATAATAACATCACCCATTGTCCGTTAGCCTGTCTAATGACCAATGATGGAGTTTTACTTGATCTGAAAAAAAGATCTGTTTATGCTGAACAAAATAACCGAAAGAACATGATATAAAGGTGATTCAGTAGAAGTTTTAAAACAATCCACTGGACTTGGTTTCCAAGATTTGAAGACGTTTCTCCACCTCTCCAGGAAGCTTTCTCAATTCAAATGTCTGAATCCGCAGTGAGTTTGAGTCTTTATATAGACAAGGCATTGTATTGGTTGAAAACATACAAATGGAAACCAACGACACCTTCGGAATAACGCGTGAGTATGAGAAATTGCTTAGGAAACTTGCAGATTATAGGAACCATCTACGTTTCAATTTAAGATGTAGACAGCAAGGACTCATTCCGAACGTCGGTTACCATTTGCATGTTTCCAAGCAATACAAGGCCTCGTCTATATAAGACTCAAACTCACTGCGGATCCAGACATTTGAATTGAGGAAGCTTCCTGGAGGGGAAGCGAAACGTCTTCAAATCTTGGAAACCAAGTCCAGAGGATATTTTTTAAACTTTTGCAGAATGACTATGACCTGGATGACTGAGAATCTTCATCAGGATTTAAAGGTGGGGAGCTGGGTAGCGCTGTAGCTCTGCTCAGTAGCTAACAAGTTAGCCTCTTTTAGCTTGGTCAGTTAGCCATATTAAGCTACACTACTTTTGAATTTGTATCAACAACAACAACCGTTTGTTCTCTACAAGTAGAATAACTGTTTTCTTCGTCTAAAATCTCTACGAAACTTTTATAAGACGTTCCATTTGTCCTCCTCTGCCCTCAGATCTTAATAAAAAGAATAAAAATAAAAACTTAGTATTTTAGTGTCATCTTGGTAAATGGCAGAGCTCAGTCTTAGAAGGCAGTACTTCCCTTCAAGACTGAGAATGACTGTTTTCCACTCTCGGCTACTTTAGATTGAAAATGAAATGTAAAATAAAAGCAAATATAGGTAATAATACGTTGAAACTCCAAAAGATATTAGATCCTTAATAAACGGGTGCAAATAAGTTTGTCCGAGTGGATTTGCCATATTTTGACATCATAAGAAGGGGCGGGGCCCCGAGTAGACCTGACCACTCGAGCAGATCTGGTACCTACACCGTCCACAACGCCTGGCACACCTCGGACACTATCCCAGACACCATACAGGACGCTAGCTCTGTGCGACGGTCTGTTGGTTTGCACCCGAAGCCAAAACACGCAGCGCCACGGCCAGACTTTGGGGAACACTCATGGGTGGACTGTGTGTCGTCCGCCATTGGATGACGGGTTAAAACAAGCTCGTCACACCAAAACAAAGACACCCACAATCCTAGCTAGTTCGTGATTGTCCCTCTTGCGTCGCAATTATATTGTCGCGTCATACCTGCAACAAGATAACTGCGACGCACTGCTGCGGGAGGATAACCTGCCCTTAACACTTCAAACATCGATACAAATTAATGGGAAAAATCACACAGCAGACTGCTTCCATTATGTCTTCATGTTTATTACATAAAGAAAAGTAAAAAGCTTGTTAAGAAAAATTCCCACATGAATCCCCCCCCCCCTTTTGGCCTGCTTTCCCCACAGCCTGGATGCTTGCTTCTCTCCCTGTGCTACACCAATTCCCCCCTCCCTCATTTGGCATTGCTGGAGACATGTTAGCTACAGGCTAACATCCCAAAACAGGCAGCCAGGCTTCAGTGTTTAAGATTTGTAAGAGAGCCCCACATATTAGGATGCCAAATATCGTATCAGCGCCCCAGAGAGCTCAGGCAGCACCCTTCTGTGATGACGATGTCGGAGATTCGAATGTCGGGATAATAAAAAGAAAGTGCTTTTTTTCTGTTGCATCTCAGCTCCTTTTCTTCATGTGCTCAAGTCAAGGTGTGGCATCGCCCTTCCTCTCCTGCTCGATGGCTGCAAAAGAAGAGCATAAACAGAAGCTGTTAGTTTAGGCTTGAACTGGTGAGTCGGGTGCAGCTTTTTCTTTTTTTTTTTCTGGTTTCCTGATGCTGCAGAGATTTGTTTCATTGCTCCCTCTGCTGTGTGAAGGTGATGATGGGGGCGGTTCTGACAGGGGAGAAAAATTGCTGCAGAGGATGAAGGAGTTGCAGGGGGGGCACTCACTCTCTTTGGTGGGCAGAGGATTCTTCTCTTTTGTCTCTGTCTTCTTCAGCTTCGTCTTGTCGAAACGGGCGATCTCGGTCATGTCTGGCTTGTCGGACATTTTGGCTGTGGAGAAATAAGACGCGGAACTTACTGCAGCACTTTGACCTTCCCTGTCAGGCATCATATGATGCATATACATAGTTTCACCATTGAAGAAAATCTGTAACGTGCCATCAGCTGTATTGGTAAGTGTATGAACAGAAAGGGAGTGGCTACAACATGTGCTGCTCAGACAAGTGGTTGCTTCCCACACACATGCTCAATCTACATGCGTGTCTCTCTGATGCCTTTGTGGCTAACATGTGTCTGTCTGCCTTTTTTTCCCCGTCTCTAAAGCTCCACTCTTTGTTCTTGCTGCATCCTCCCTCATTCCGCTGTTTCTTTTTCTTCTGCATCGACTCGTAGTCCGGCGGATGCAGTCATCAGTCTGCAGGCTCCACTGCAGTAAGACCTACAGACTGAGGTCTAAGCAATCCGCCTCGTCACTGTCTAGATCTCAGCGTGTCTGACTCAGCCAGCTGTTTTAAGCTCATGAGGCTGCAGCTCTTTGTAGGCTTCTGTAAAATGATTCTTACCAACGTGGACTTGAAGGGGGCCTAAAAGCTTCTGCTTGACACGCTATGAAGCTTCCTAGGTCAAAATAATAATAGAACAAACTCTGCTTTAACATCAAAAGCAACCTTCAATCATTAGCTTGACCACCTTAGCATCTTAATTAAGTAAATTAATTAAATTTCACAACCTCAATATACCAGTATGATTGCTTTATTTATCATCACCACCATTATCAACATCCTCATTATTTCACTGTTTCCATTAGCAGCCAACTTCTACCCATCCAGCCACACCCAGAGTCCTTTGTTCGTCTCCCCCCCTCAAACCAGTGCCGCCATCAATCAGAGAAACAAAGATGAATGAAGAGAAGAAGAAGAAATCATTCTTTCTTACCGAGGATCCACACAGCAGGTGGGTTAATATCCAAGGCAGGAGGCTGCAGGGAGGGTCAGAGATGCAGAAACGAGAGCGGTACGGAAGCTGAGACAGGCTGCCGGCGTGTGCGCGCCTCACTGCGTCCAGCGTCTGGTTATAAGAAGGAGGGAGGGGGGAGGAGGGAGAGTGACTGGGAGCTTGGTCATCCTTCTTCTTTCATTAATATTAATGTCCTTAAGGAGGGGGACATGAGGGAGAAACCACTGAAAGAAGATATCTACTTATATAGATTCTCTGAGATCAATAATGATTATTACCATCATAATCCTTAATCTGTACTATAGATTCAATACCATGTCAGATGAGAATTCAATTGAAATCAGTTTATTTCTATTGAACCAATTCACAACACGTCATCTCAAGGCTTTTTACAATTCAACCAGATCATCCAGTCAAAGTGATTCAAAGTTTTCTATCTACGGTAAGGAAAACCAGCTGATTGCATCGACTCATTGACTCTTCA